CAATTACTATAATATTTTTCATAAAATAGTAGTTTTTAGTTTGAATAAAACCCAGCTATTATCATGTAATTCTTATTTTACTATACGAAATTTAATTAAAAATTAATCTTGAAGGGATTCAAAATGTAAGTAAAATATATATTTTTTTATAAAAAAATATAATTAATATAATATATAAGTAAATGAATAAATATATGAATTTAAGATTGAAAATAGCCAAATGTTCAGTATCAAAAACGATATGGCCTTCTACGAATAAATTTTTAAGCCTAAATTCGAGAAACAATGTTAAATAACTAAATCAAAACATACACCAAATTAACATATACATATGTATGTATATATATATATATATGTATACTATAAGATTGGGATTCCAGCTATTTATGTTTTTAAATTATAAATCACATGTACTTAAAGTAAGATACACTTGTTAAAATCATATATTTTATTTTAAAATTATGAGTTTAAATTTTATTAAAAATATAAAATTTAATAATTTATAAATATATTATATACTGATAGTAATCGATCATAATACTTGATATAACAAGTATAAGACTAAAATAATTAATGTATTAACGTAGTTGTAGAAGACTAAGTAGGATTCTGTTTCATGACTTATTATAATTAAATTCTTTTAATTGAGGTGTTAATTACGAATCAGCACTCTGACTTATTTTTTTTTTTATATATAGAAAAATTATAGTTCTTCACTTTTTCATCATATTTTCAAAATTCAACCTAACTTTTAAAAATCTTAAACTTAATTTAGATTTAGATAATAAGCTCGTAGAATTGTAATAATTTTCATTTGACAAATGAATCTTATTTTTATCTGATTTATAAGCTAAAATTAATCTAAAAGTTGAGGTTGGACCTAAAAGCTTATTACGGCCCAACTTTCTAAGAACAATTTAGTCATTTTTTCATAATTAATTAATTTTTTTTTTAGATTCTATTTCTTTCATATTTTTAAAATTTCTAAAAATATTAAATCTTTAAAACACGAATTCAATTCAAATTAAATTTATTGCAAGTTACTTAATATCATAATATATTTATAACAAAAAAAGATTAAAGTAATGTTATTTAATTTGCTTCTATAGTTTGATAGTTGTATGAAAAGATTATAAAATTGATCTAATTTTATAGATTTGAAAAATAAATAGTTAATAATTAATATTTTATTACTAATTAAAAACTTTTTAATATGATAATTTAAAGTCTAACCCACGTGATTCGATTCAAACAACAAGGTCAAGGCTAATTGTATTTTAGCTTTTTCAAAACTGCCTTCGCGATTGTACGAAAATTTCAATATTAAAAGTCAAAAATCTATTACTCTTATCCATAAATATGTGGTTGTATCATCATGATTGAAAGACGGCGTCGTTTCAATTATTCATTGGGCTGACTGAGAGTAGGATGCTCGTAATGCTGACATTTTTATTGCCAAACAGACAGGATATACATTCGATTTTTTTGTTTTTCTTTTTTAATGACTTTATAATTATAATTAAATGAAATTTCATTTCTAATTAATTCTAATCATGTTTAATTTTAATATAATTTTATCCAAAATATCACAGAATTTTCAATTAAATAATTTTAATTAGACATATTAAAATAGTATAAATTTTTTAATTATAACATTATAACGGTTTTACCAAAGAACAAAAAAAGATTAATGCCAAAACTTAATTAATTAAACAGACAGTACAACTTTAATTTAAATAGAATTTTCAACTATATAAATATAGCGTGACATGTATGAATACAACATAAAATTGACGTGACCAAGTATTCAAATTTAGTTACATTAAATTAATAATGTGAAAATGAATTTAAGAAGTTAATTAAATATTTAATTAATATGAAGGGGTTGACGGTGAAATTCAAGATTCAACCCTTTAAATGAGGGCGTAAAACTTGCATAATAATATTAAATCGTATATTGACTTTTTGTTTTTATGCTAATCAGCAATTGAATAAAGATTAAAGATACTAATTAATTAAATAGCATTTTTAGTCAAACTATTTTGACGAATATTATTGCCTAAGTAGAGTATTTTTCAATCCTTTTTTATCAAATGTTGAAGTTTTCAATAAGTGTTATATAAATAAAGAAGAGAGGTGTTCATAGTTGAAAGATAATATTATTTATTATAATGAATTTAATTCAAACCGTTTAAATTTGGTCCACAATAGATTTTTTTTTTTTTTTTTTGTCAAATAACGGATCGAGTTGGGATAAGTTGAGTTGTCAAGAAAATAAAAATAGACAGATTCAAGTTTAGCGTGTTAAAACTTGTTTCAACTCAGTTCGATATATATATATTTATATTAAAATATATAAATCTACATACATACATATATGTAGGTATAAATATAAATATAATTATATACTTAAATTAATATATTCGTTCTAAATTTGAGACATGGTCAATTTGTATTTTATAGATATAGATTGATTTCAAATATATTGAAACTTGTTCCGGCCCCTACTTATTGAATTTGTTTTATTGTCATCTCTATTCATAATTCAGATTGTAAAGATAATTTTATCATATTAAAGTAAATTTAGAATGCAATTTTCAAATATATTAAATCTGATTTTAAGTTTCAGTTTTATTTTTAATTTTATTAATATTTAAATATTAATTTTAATTTATTAGTGTTGTATAAAAAATATTTTTTAAAATATTAAATACTATTTCATATTATTTTAAAATAATATATATATTGAGCTTAACTGTTCTAACTAATACATCACTAATATAATGATCTAATGGTTAAAATTATTGTTTGTTTCTTAAAGGTGATAAGTTAATATATCATTATATTTAAAGAATTTATGACTTTTTAAGTATATTATCAGTTAATACTAACGCATCTCATAATATTTGATCTAACATAACCTAAGACTCGTCGCCTTATTAATGTGTTGATGAATTTAAAATGATAAAGTTAAATTTTGTCCAAACGGATCATGACGTATTCAAGTAAAAATAATTTTTTTCAATTAAAATAAATATAATAAGTTCAAAAATATTTAATATAACATTTGTCCTATACAAATTTTTTTTATACATATAGTAATAATTTTTTTTTTTAAATTAGGTAATTATTTAAATGATGTTAAGTGAAAAGTATAAATAGTCACTTAAGTCTATGTTTTAAACAAATGAGTTTTGTTTGTAAAATTTATCTATTTTATTTATAATCTATATAACCATGACAATTGAAATAAATTGAAATTTTTAAATAATTTATATTAAAAATTCATTCAACAGAAAGTAGTAAGCCGAGTTGTAAATATAAGAGAAGGTCAAGACAGCAATTCAACCTTGAGGCATTTGAAAAAGAAAGTCAAAGATTCCAAATTGGAAGGTCAAAATAGCAATTCAACTTTAGAACCAAAGCCTGTCGTTTTGCTGAATATGATGTATATATATATATATATATATATGTACGAATAAGCATGAGCAAAGCACTGCCCGTGCATTAACGAAATCCAAATTAACCCCCCTGATTAATCAAGTCAAAATAAGATTATTACATGTCACATTTTTATTATATATTTAATTAAAGTCGAGACTTTTGAATGAAATTAATCTCAACGTTCAAAGATATACGCATGCAAAAATAATAATTATAAGACGTAACACTTAAATTTCATAACATAACTAATCAAGTTTGTTTAATTATGGCACTGTGCCTGATAGTTAATCTAAGTTTTTGTTGTTAAACCGATCATGGTATTATATTTAAATGTATACCCACTAAACCATTACATTCATTTTTCTAAACATAATTATATACAAATATTATATTAATCATAATTATTATATTTAAATAAATTTGTCACGATAATATAGATCTAACTTACAAAAAAAAATCTTTTTAAAAAAATTATTATCATACAATACCAAAAAATTTACTTGCACTAATTAATGACAATATAAATAAACCATTAACTCACGACATAAATATTTGATTTAATTATTATTCTTGAATTCTCGTGTTCTTAAGAATAAATTTTTTTTTTCTTTAAAAAAAGAAAGATGGGCTGATATATATATATATAGCATTATTAAACTTGCTATAAAAAAATATAAAATTAATAATATGTAAGGTTTGATGAATGAAATATTCTAATATCACATGGTCATGTTCTGAAACGAAGAAAGCAATAATACGTGGGTAGGAATATTGTTGGTGCATGTATGATGAATGTGATAGTGTAAGGAAGACTTTTCCTTAATCAATATATATATATATATATATATATATATATTTTAATCTTCTTAAGTAATAATTTTAACTTCTTAATGGGTCAGGGCATTATTTTAATTGTTTCGAATTTAATTATTATTATGTCAATGAAGCTGATACGCCAACGACCAACAGGAATCATGCATGGTCTTGTATAATTACGAAAATAGATAATCTAGCCTGGTCAACGTTTGAATTTATAATTCAGTATCAATATATATACACATATCTGTTATAATTAAATTGTACGTTTATAAATGTAAGAATATTCCAAATTATAAACAGTTTGCTATTTACTTTTAGCATGCAAAGGTGGTGACATTTATTATATATCATTCAAGTAATTGTTTAAGGATATTTACTGAAATTACACATATTTTTATTAATTTTCAATAAAAAAATTTATTATTAATTATTACAAATACACGTTTTCGTCTTAAAAAAATAAAAATAAAAATAATCAATATCTACTGTTAATTAAAGTACTCACATTCACGAATAAATAAATCAGCAATAATTTTCTCAATTTATAAAAAAAAATATGCACAAATCACAATCTAAGAAATTCCACATCTTCTCTCCGGAAAAAAAAAAAAAAGAAAAAGGAAATTCCACGTCATCCGCTTTTTCGGGCAGTCTGACGTCAAGAAAAGTCAAAAAAAAAAAATAACAATAACAAATTCGAATTCATCATACAACCATCAACTGTGGAAATCCTAACGGCGGGTGGGGCGATAACGGCGACAACAGAGGTACGTTAAATAACCCTTTTACGTCACCATCCCAAACTTCCATCCATTTTGACGGCGTCAGCGGCCCATCCTCATCCCTTCCCCTGATGACGTCATTCCCCGTCTTTGCCACCTTCTTAGCTGCTCTCTCCTCGCCGTCCTCCTCCCTTGGCCGTTTGTTCTCCCCGCCTTCATCACATCTCCCTGCTTCGAGCGGGAAGTTGAGGATTGCCTTCGAGCCGCGCAGCTTGAACGCGGCTCGGTCGTAGGCTTTGGCGGCTTCAATGGCCGTGTCGAAGGTCCCGAGCCAAATCCGAGTTCCTCTCTTGTTCGGGTCTCGTATCTCCGCCGCGAACTTGCCCCAAGGCCTCTGCCGGACACCTCTGTAATGTCTTTTTTGTTCAATACTCGACCTCCTCCGCGCTTCCCGGGCTTGATCCTGTTCCGGAATCGGGTTTGTGAACTGGATCCACTCAACTTTGTTTGGCAATGAGATTTTCAGTGAGGGCTTTCGGTTCCATTGAGGGCTTGAACTTGAAGGAGTCTCAGTTATCCCCTGGAAATCGAAGAAATTGTTCGATTGAGAGGGGATTTGAGGTTTGGAATCAAATTCGAAGAACTGCTCGCTCGATTGAGAGCTCAAACTCGAAGGAATTTGAGGCGTTGGCTCGAAATCAAAAGAATTGTTCGATACACAAGGTTGGAACTCAAATTCCAGGAGTTGTTCGTTAGAATTGGTGGCTTTCGGGGTTGTTAGATCGATTATTTGAGGCTTAGATTCAAACTCGAAGAGATCGCTTCCACTTTCAGCAAGATTTTGGGGCAAGTGGAAGAAATCAGCGGTTTCATCTAAGCACTGGAATTTAGAAGCCGCCGTCAAGGAAGATCCGGAGCTGGAAGTTTGTGAATAGGCAGAGCTCGAAACTGAAACTCCAGGCTTCGCTTCACTCATCCATGGAGTTGCTGCAAAACTCAAAAGAGAATTAAAGCAACTTCCGACAGGAGAATTTTCGCCAAAGAGATGCTTCTCAATAGACTCAAGTGTCATCACTTCATTTGGTGTAGCCATAACCAAAAGTGGAAGTTATTTGGAAGAAGAAGAAGAAGAAAAGCTCAGGTTTGAAAATGCGAAGAGGATGAGAGTGGAAAGATAAATATATAAGGAGAAACAATTGAATTATTTATTTATTTATTTTTTCTTTTCAAAAATAAATCTGAAATTATCAAAAGCGACTTTTCTAAGGAGCTTCCTCCAGGCAGGGAAGAAACAAAGAAGACGACCCTGTTTTACGCTGCGGGTGAGGCGTACGTGTACCTCATAAGCTCCTTTCAATTTCAGCGGTTAGATTGGATGAAATCTGTAGTCTCAAAAGAGTTGATTTTGAGGGCCGGCGGATGAGGTACCAACAATATTCTGTCGCACGTATTCAAATGTAAATGTTTTGTCCTCTTTCTCTTGTCTGGATTTTGTTTCTAGGATGGTTCCAAAAAGTGCACGCTTTAGACAAAAAGAAAATTATTAGTTGGTTATTGAAATTTAGTGGGTTAACAATTAATTAGTATAAGATTCGTTTGATTAGTATGATTAAGATTTTGTATTAAGTAATAAAAATAAAATAAATTGGGTTGCGGATGAAGATAAATCTTAGGTTTGAATATCTGGTCAGATAATGTGATTGAAGCTAAATATATACTTTTCTAGAATCCTAAAAACATGGCCTTTTTTTTACTGTGTAAGAAAAGAAGTGGTTTAAATGTCGCTGTAAACAGAATCTTTGTGTCTAAATTTGCTTAGTTTTTTAATTTTCAGTATGCTTGGATTTGGTCCTAGTGTGGATTCGTGTGTCAACATTGTTTGTATTCGAAGACCAAAAAAAAAAAATTAGGATTCAAAACTTACTTTGATTATCAACTTAAATATTTAGAAGCCGGTTTTAAATTAACAGGGATTCCTGTTCCACGCTTAAACACCTATCTGTAAGTAGAGATGATAGAGGAGCCACAAACTTTTCTTTTAATTTCTTTTTTTAGATATTGGTACCACCCAATTAACCGTAGACAGACTTCATCTTTTCGTGAACTCCTACCTACCTGCTGCATGCGGTGGTAGTTTATGGTTTAACCACGGGTTAAACAGATACTACACATGCAATACCCATGTGTTCATGCATGAAAATGATTGACGGTTCATCCCAAAATGAGAAGATTTGTCTGTGATGAGACGAAGTTTTGACGTAGTTGCAACTTGAAACCAAAGGAAGAAAATGGGAAACAGTCAAAGATTTCAGTTTTATTTATATATCTTGGGTCTTTGGTCTGCAACCCTCAACCACTCTCAATATTAAATGTAAATTTGAGAATATGGACCCTGGGGTAATGGATGAAATGTCTTTTTGTGGTGGAGTAAAGTTGAAGATTTATTTATGGGGAGCAGAGGTGCTGATCAGTTGATAAGTTTAAAAGAGAGTGGCATTTGAGCTACCAATGCGAAAAGAGGATTTGGATGAAATTCCATACATGCATGTGGAAAGGTAAAATTTTTAGGTTTTAATTGACTCATGCACGATTGATGTTTCTAATTTGCAATTGATACGTGGAATGAGCATGACCATCTCCATAAGTAACAGTTTATATAATTCAGAATTTGTCTCAAAAACTTTTTCACATGATCCTCCTATTGGTATTGAATTTGAATTGGGCCGATTTAGTAAATATTGGGACAAGCCCATTATTCTCTATTTAATAAATTAACATAAATAAAAATAAATTAATTATTAAATTATTTTAGTTTTTAACTTAATTTTAATTATTTTTATTTGCATAAACCATTAAAACTCAGTTTAATTAAGTAATTGTATTCGCTGATAAAATTATCAAAATTTTCTCTCTTCAAGTATAATACACACAATGAGTTTATAAAAATTCATCAACATCCTGAAACTTTTTTATTAAAAAAAAAAAAAAAAATGAGAAGAAAAACATGTACTACGTACATATGCATGACGCTGATCTAAGTAATTTACGACCACCTTCGCGTGCAGCAGCCATTCAAATATATTACGTTCATTGCATCTTTTCTATGCTATATCTCACACACACACACATATATATATAATATTAATCAAGTTTCTCTTAGTAAATTTCATGCTTATCCTTTCAATTAGCAGCAGCCTTTTTATTATCTCCCCATTATAGCATATTTAATTATCTGGCCTAATTTAATCCATCTATAATATTAATGATTGATTACTATTTGTTTAGATATATATATATATATATATATTTTTTTTTTAAAAAAAAAAAAAAAAAGTTATTGGGATTGGCTAACTACTAAACCTTTAGTTTCTTTGATTTTATTTATAACATTAAGCTAATTAATATTATAATTAGATATGTGATCATCTTTTTGGGGACCGTGTGTAGGCATTAATTAATTCTATATGTCATTAGACTTCTTCTTTCCTAATGGCGGCATTAACTAATTTCAGAGCACATATTCCATACGCCATTATATGTACTAGATTTTAATTTGTCAAATCGTTCAATTTTAGTTAAATTTTGATTCTAATTAAAATAATATTATAATATTTTCATTTTAATCTTTTACTTATCCACATATTTATTATTATTATTATAACATGAATGGATTGATTTAACTAGATATTAAATATTGAAATTATTATTAAATTCTAAGTACAGATCTTGATTTCAAGTGTCGTCATCATCGTGACAGTAAGAATTGTGAGGATATACATATATTTATACATAGAGAGAGAGAGAAATCAAAAAATTTGAATTTACATTTATTTTTAAAGAATTAAATCGTACTTACTGTCACCAGTTGAATTAAGTTGACCTCTCCAACTCACTGGATTGATCTTCATAATATAAATTGAATGGACTAATTTTCCCATTTCAAGACTACATAAATTTTGTATACCTTGCAGCTCCTCTGTATAATGTATTAAATCCCAGTGTAATTAAATGCACAAGTCGGTACAGCAGCAGTGTTTTAATTGGAATTTCATTCCTTGATTTCAACCACTAGTTTTCAAATTGGCAAGTGGGTGGATATATTATATTATAATGGTGGATTAAAGCAAATCTAATGAATAATAGTTGTTGAAATTAAGCACGTGAGGAGTTTATTATTATTATTATTAAATTTGATTAAACATAATTGCTGTACAAGGAAAGTAATTACTAATTAATTAATTCTTTTGTTGTTGATGAGAAGGACAAAATCGAGAGACTCAAACATTGCGGTTACAGCGCACGTGTAGTACTTGACACGTGCTGAATATTCGTCGGTCAAACCTGGACTTGACCCGATTTTCAAACCGCTGACTGTTATGGAGCCGCTTCTTGACGTGCAACGCAGTCCCTCCTCCGACTCCGTGCTTCGCTATTAATTACAAAAGACTTTAATAATTTATATTTATTTAAATATTATAATTTAGTTTAGTAAATTAAATACATATGTTAGTTTAAAAATTAAACACGCGAGAGATATCTGTAAAACATAAAATTATAATGGTTTAGTACAAGTTAACAAATTACTATACACACACACCAAAAGTTACGGTTAGCACTTTATCCAATTTAAATTATTAAGTAATTTTTTAAAATATTAAATAAAATAAATTACTGAATTATTTATTATCTGTTAACTGGAGCATTCCCTCGTCCGTGACTATATATTAAACAAATATGCCGCCATGTTAAATATTTAATTTGTACTAATTAATTATGTTTTAGTGGCCTCCAAGTAGATAATTATAAAAAGTAATTACATCCACCCAATAAGGTTTAATAACAAAATCTAAACACACGAGGAGAAAGGTAGGCTGATTAATTAAATTAATTTTAAGTAATTAAACAGTAAACAAGCGCCAGCTTCGTTGAAGGGAGAAAAAAACAAAACAAAACAAAAGGGGATGTAGAGGGAGGCGTGGGTCCCCGCCATACGCCCATTGACTTTTTGGGAAGACTTATCCACACCACAAATTTAATAAATTCCAATGCATTGTATCCGTAAACCCAAAAAAGCTTTCACTTTTGTTCTTTTTGCTTTCTTTCTTTACTTTCTTTCCTCGCCGATTATTTCAGTAATCGTGTCTCACAAAACAATTATTTTTTTCTCTTTTATATTAATTTTTTTTAATAACAATCATTTTTAAAATAAAATAAAACTGAAGCAACAATAAATTTATAACAATAAAATAAGTGCTTGTAAAAATAAAATAAAACAATAGATATTGATATTTACTAATATCCAACATGTCAAAAAATGAAGACACAACGGGCTCCAAATGGGACAACACAAGTATATTTAGTGTGTGTATATGTGTATTTATTTACGTAAATAGCTTCACACTGAATGAGGGTTGAGAGAGAAAGAATTATGTGTGCATATGTGGTGTATATATTCATTTTTCTTATGCTATAAAAATTTATTTTCTCTTTGTGTCCACAATTTTAGAAGAAAGAAAAACTTAGAGAAGATGCCAATTAGAGTTTTTTTTTTTTTTCCCCTCAAAATGCCACCATTTTATCTTTATCTTCGTTTTTATTTTTTTTCGTATCGAATATAGTATCATATTCGCGTTAGAGAATGAGAACTACCACCAAATAGTAAACTCAATCTCCTTCTAAAATTTAACTTTTTCAAGTAGAATAACATTCGATCATTCTTATAAATTCGGGATCCGTGCTAATAATACAATTATTAAATTTTAATAACTATCACACTTAAATAATATTTAATAAACATGTTATGAGAATAAAGAATAAGCAAAATTTTATTGATTAAAACTTAAAAGAACCAACATATTTGAATAGTGTACTCATAGAGTACTGCCTCAGATGCAAGGATATTATTATTATATTAATATAAAATACACTATCAGTAGATATCAAATCCAACATCTTTTATATTTATATTGCTAATTACTTCTGAATCTAGCTGGAATAAAGATATGCACAAGACAACGCTTCCAGGGTCTACGAGCCAAAATAAACAATTGTTAATTTTAATATAAAATTGTAATACTTAAAGTATTTATTTCTCAAAATTCAAAGCACTTTTTAAGGAACTGTTTAACTATGAGTTGATTCCAAGTTACACTTGTAGAGGATTACAAAATATAACAAGGACACTAGATAATGAAACTTCTCATGAGAATAAACAAATTGTATAAAAAATTAAGCACAAATATTGTTGATTAATCTTTCTCTAGCTTGAATGAGATTTACTCGATTGTGGAGGAAAAATCTCATTAGATAGTTTTTTTAATAGAGCATTGGCTCTTAACATCAGGAGTTCAAATAAAAATATAAAAAGTTATAGCTCAAATCGTAAGAGATATTGTTGTTCACATTGTGTAAAGTGGTAAATTACTAGTTAAAATATGCTTTTAAGTCAATATAAATAAACTTTTGTGTTTCTCTTGCAATATGTCTAGACATAACATAAAAGGTTGTTATAGTTACAAAATTTCAACCAAGTTAACTAGTAAAATTGTCAAATTTGTCAAAAATATCTTTAAGTAACTTAAAAAAATTTAAATATATGGTAAATTCAAAAAATGGTAATTTATTAACTATTGACATTCTATTCTCAATAATTTATTAATTTTTAGACAACACGATCATATAAAAAAAATAATATAATGGAGATATATATAACCATACTTACATAATTCATGAATAAGACAGACTACTACTAATCCAATATTAAAAATGATATGCAAATCCACGTATTAAATGTTAGTCCTTCTACTAATACCCTCCTTCTTTTATTTTTATTTTTTAAAAAATTTCAGATTAAAAGGCTGGCGATTTTTTCACGTGCAAGTTGAGCGATTATTTGTCCGACAAGAGAGGATGCAAAAATCAAATTCTTGCTTCCCTATGACTCATGACGTCATCACTTCCCCTCTTTTTTTTTTTTTTTTTTTTTTTTTATAATAAAAAACACGTGACTAAATTGAAATCCCTCATTTTTGCACAACCTAGAAATTTCACAGAAGAAACCACCAGCTAAAAATAATTGTTTTTTTTTTTTTTTGAAAAAAATGAAAATAATATTTATCACAATGAATAAATTAATCAATAATTTCAAAGAAAAAAACAAAACAGTCCCCCGGCAGATGCATGTATCTATCTCCCCATTATATATATATATATAATCCCCTTTCTTCCCTATCCTACCAAGATTCACTTCATTAATTTTCCCAATTTCATTTCCATC